GGGAAGAGCAGCAGAGCTTGCCCCGGATTCACCAGAAGTGCAAACGGCACCCACACAGCAGGGACACTCAGATGCCCACACAGCCGCCTTCCGTGGGATTTTAAAGGACTTGAGGTCACAGTTTTAAAAGCCCAGTGGAACATCAAGGGAGGAGCCTCATGCCCAAGTGTTTCTTCAAGATAACACCTCTTTCACGGGTAAGCCCAAGTGACCCTTGCCCTCAGCTGCCACCAGGCAACTCAGTAACCCCCTTGTCATCAGTCGGGCTGAGCCTGGGCAGCGGTCACCAAGTGACAACCTGTCATTTGGTTGCGATTCACACCAACGTCCCCGCTCACCAACCAGCAGGGCGGGGTTGGGGCCAAGGGCCCTTCGGTACATACCTTCAGCTGGAACAGGGTATCTGCAAAGAGAGGAGACGGTTTGAGGATTTTAAGAAACGTGACGAGCAATACTGCCAACAAGCAGAGAGGGTCACTGGACTCTCCAGGCACACAGAGCTGGACCAAGCACAGGAGTGGCCGGCACTGCCGAGGGCTCGGGAAGACGGATGGGCCTGCAGCTCTGCTCCCGCCCGCGGTGGACACAGGGCCTGGGCGGCCGCAGGGCCTCCTGAGCCTCCGGTCCCTCAGGATGGCGCCAGCTGACCCCAAGGGTGAGTGTGCGGGCAGCGAGCGTGTGGCCCCAGTGAGAACTCAAGGTGGTGGCTGGTAATGAAAGCAACTTTGCAAAGGTCCCTTGGGATTCCTGCCGGGTTTAATAAGGCCGAGGACATGACAGTGTATTTTTTATAAGATGCTCTTTCCCTGAAAGCAAATGGATGGAAACAGCAGGGTGACGGCTCCTCCTCCGCCATCGGAGAGCAGAGCCTTCGAATCCGCCCAGGGGCCTCGCCATCCGCACCGAGGAGCCCAGGAGACCCGGGTGTGTTCTTGGCGAACCCGCTTGGCAGTGGACTTGCTCCTGACGCACCGAAGCCCAAGGGCCAGCGGACGCCAATAGGTCTTAAAGCTATGACAGCGGTTCCACTGCTCTGTGGGGAGGAACCTCAGAGGTTCACCGCACTAGCTCGGCGTGAAGACGCCCTCAAACCAGAGCGGGCAGACCTGTGGCTCTAGGAACCGCAGGGAACCTGACCGGGCGCCGTGGGCTTAGAGCAGGAGAGCAGGGTAGCCGGGTGCCCA